AGAATCTACGGCAGAATTTGCACTTTTACCATTGAAGAATACATTATGTGGGACTGACGAACAAGACTTTTTTGATTTAACGAATTGCCAAAAGGCCTTCGAGTTCGAAATAATATTGTTTTCAAAATTCAAAATATAATTTCTATATAAGAACTTATTCAAACAGTTAAACTCCTTTAAATAGCACTGAAATTTGGAACAATGCTCTGGGTCACCAGTCCTTTTATACAATTTGCAAAATTTGTTTTTCAAATTCTTTAGATGCTTTAGCAGTTTTAAAAATAGGAACATGCTTCAAGCATAACTCAAATAGCTTAGTTTTAAAGTAATGGAAACAAGAAGTAACATCATTGTCATTGAAAGCATCACCAATCAATTGTCAACAGAATTTCATTAAAAGTAGAAAAATCACAAGCGTTGAAATTGAATTTCGTGTTGGAATCATCGGAAACCTCAGAAAACTCATAAAACTCAAATTCTAGAGTAAGCGGAATATGATGTTTATCTGTTGGAGAGATGGGTGTGATGCATTCAGACAATATCTAGTGAACATTATTGGAAATAAACACTCAATCTAATATTACATTTACATTGAGCCCAAATGCGTCATTTGGGCGAGAAACCTCAAATGCGAGGCCAAATCACGCATTTCTCCATACAAATTCACATTTCCAGAATGACGCATTTCGACGCATTTACACAAAATCACGAAACAAATGCGTTCCAATTGCCGTACTATTTTATTGAACGCACTCAGAAACAAAAGTTCCACAAAAGCTTTGGTTTGTCTTTGACATTTGGAATTTTTCAAACACAAAACAAACACAACGAAATAAATAAATCTTTGAAATTTGTGTGTAAAAATTGTTAATTTATACAAGAGCTTTACACATTTTTAGTTTAATCAAAGAATAATTGCCTTTTTGTGTCCAAAAAGCGTTAACAATATAATAAATGTAGTGTTTGTTTACATACATTTTGTTTTTGTCTTCCCTTTTCATTTGATGAGAAGTCAAAGCAAATGCGGATCAAGCAGTGTAAACACCTTCAAATGACTGATTTCAAATCACGCATTTTGGTCCAATGTAAATGTAATATAAGATTATCTTAAGGCTATTATAAAATCCATTAATTTGAAGTAAATCAATGCTTAAAAAACAATCAATGACGTGAATTTCGGCTGAAGAATTGACGTTAGTGGCCATAAATGCAGTCGAGTTTTTAAGTGGGGACCAATTCAAATGACACAAATTAAAAACATAAACGATTCCAGACGAGCCATGAACACGAACGCAAAGCTGATCATTGAGTGTGTCAGAATTGGTAGATAGACAGATAGTTGGTTGGGTATGGCACTGCGACTAGTAGGTCTATTGTGGCCCTAGCTCATCACAACACATCAACCAGCCCCAGAGTGTCTATAAATTTCATAATAGACCCCGGGGACAGTGAGTGTATGTGCTCCTCTCTTGCCCAGACGTGCCCTATGCTCCTATACCTCCTGCGTGCAACGGTCTCACACTCCATAAGGAGGTGTAGAGGAGTCTCCTTGGCTGCATCGCAAAAGCGACACAGGTCGCTGGACCAAATACCTAGTTTATGCAGGTGCCCTCTGAGCCTACAGTGGCCCGTCATAAACCTGTAATAATTCTTAGTTTCTCTTTTGGGAGATCCATGAGAAGCCTGTAGCTTCACAGATTGTAACCTCCTAATAAGCTTTTCGCTTGACGTTGGCCCATGGTGCCAAGCCAGTGTAGCTCCCTCAGTCTGCTGTTGTCCCTTCTGAGCATTTCCTTTATGGTGTTGGGTCCTACTGCCAGAAAGGGCTCAGGTCCTATCGGGGTCGAAGAAGCGGCCGTTCTGGCCAGATGATCAGCTTCCTCATTTCCTGCAACCCCCATGTGCCCTGGTACCCACATTAGTTGGATATCTCGACACACTCCCAAACCAAGGACTTGATCTCGAATGATGAGAGGGCCCTAAGTGCCGCTATCACTTAGTATAAGTATCCTTTCGTTCCTATAGTTCCTACGAATGTTGATCTCAGCGCACATACTGATGGCGTAGACCTCCGCTTGAAAGATGCTAGGGAAAGTTCCCAGGGGCACCGAAAGCTTCAGCCTAGGGCCGTACACGCCTGCTCCAATCCCCTCGGGTGTTTTAGAGCCGTCAGTGTACCACTGTATTGTGCTCGCCTGTATGTGACTCTCCATAATAGAGGTACACCAGGTCGCCTTGTTATAAGTGTGGGTCCTGAAATTTCTTCAAGAGAAACCTCTCTGTTAATATCGTCGCTGGCGAACAAAGCCAGGGGGAGCTGGGTACCTAGCTTCTCCCTGTTCCTAGATGATAACGCCTTGCCTTTGCCGAAGCCCTGCCCCGCAATGTAAAGTAGGGTTCGCTTTGCAGCCTGTTCAATTGAGAGATGCAGTGACTCGAGTTCCAGCATTACCTCCAGCGCTGCCGTCGGGCATGTGCGCATTGCTCCCGTTATGCAAACACATGCCAGACGTTGAATCTTGGAGAGGGTCTGCCTCACCGTTCCCATAGTAGTCCTGGAATACCAAGCCACCGCACCATAAGTCACTATTGGTGCCACTATCATGGTGGTCATCCATCTGAGGATCCTCAGAGTGCACCCCCAGGATTTACCCACAAGACGTTTGCACACCATCATCCCTCTCGTGGCCCTATCAACATGGTGACCGCATCAACATGGGCCCTCCACAGAAGCTTGGAGTCCAGGGTAAGTCCCAGATACTTAACCTCTGTGGCGACACTGATTACGACCCCGTCCAAGGTCAAGTTCCTCATCCCCTGGAGAATTCGTTTCTTAGTGAAGGGGACTATGGCTGTCTTAGAAGGGTTGATATTTAAACCTACGTCTGCGCACCACCTTTTTGCGAGGTTAAGTCCTTTTTGGACGATGTCACAGAGAGTACTTTCGAACCTCCCTCTAGCGAGAATCACTATGTCGTCCCTTGGAAACGCCCTCGTTATTAAGTATCTGTAGGAGTTCGTCCACAACTAAGCTCCACAGTAGAGGAGATAATACCCCCCCTTGTGGGCACCCTTTCGTCGTTTGTAATTGAACGACGCTATCACCGACTTGAGTTTCGGCAATCCTGGTCTGAATTAACCTTGCTATCCATCTTCGGATGGTTGGCTGAACGTTATGTTTGCTAAGAGCTCTGTCGACCTAAATGGGAGGCGTTATCGAAGGCCCCTCGATATCGAGGAAGGCACAGAGCACCACCTCATCACACTCAAAGGCCCCTTGTATTTCCTCCGTTAGGGCATACAGCGCAGTATCCGTGGATCTTCCCACCCTGTACGCGTGCTGGTTGGAATGCAGAGGGGTTTGTTTTAGAGTGTTAAACCTGATTTCATGGTCAATAATTTTCTCCATTGCCTTTAACATAAAGGATGTGAGACTTATCGGCCTGAATGACTTGGCAAGAAGATAACCCTGGCCCTCTGGCACACCTTGGGAATGTGAGGCAGTGCTAGACTGTCCCTCATAATGTCCACAAGATGTGGAAGCAAGAGCTCCCCGCCCTGCTTTAGCATCCACCCCAGGGGCCTTGTACCGTTCGAAGGAGTCCAGAGCCCACCGCACTGTTTGCCGGTTTATAAGGCTTTTAGCCAACTTCCAGTCCGGTGAGGATGGCCTGAACGCACGGAACAACGTATCCCCGGTGGTGGGAATGGCGTCCGGAAAGTGGGCCGACAGCAGGGCGAGGGCCTTTTCCTGTTCAGTACCTGAAAAAGCCCCATTAGGTAGCCTAATAGCCAGCCTGGTCCCTGTGTTGTCTCTCGCTAAGGCTTTATGCAGCATAGCAGCTGCAGGAGTAGATGCTATGTTCTCACAAAAGGTCCTGAAGCTGCTACGCTTGGCCTTCCTAATCTCCTTATTGTATTTTTTAAGACCTACGGAGTACTCCTCCCAGTCCCCGGTGCGCTTTGCCCTGTTGAAAGGTCTCCGCACCTCTTTCCTAAGAACTGAGAGTTCCCGTGTCCACCAGGGTGGCTGAGCTTTCCCCTTTGGCTTTGACACGGGACAGCTGGAGGTGAAGGCATCCAGAATAGTGCCGTTCAGCTTGTTGACCCTGTCCTCTAACTCCATACAATCCACCTTTCTATGTTGTGCCTCTATTGTGATTAGGTTCAACCTCAGTACCTCTTCGTATTTACCCCAGTCTGTTTTCCTGGGGTTTCTCTTTGGGTGACCTGTCAGAACCTTAGATCCCAGTGTAAATCGGATAATCCTGTGATCCGACAGTGAGGGCTCGGATGAGACCCGCCACTGAACGATCAGAGGACTGGCCAGTCTGTTGCTGAGTCATGAACGTTGCTTCATTACCGACATTCTGGATACAGTGTTCACTGATTATATATTCTAATAGGCACTCACCCCTACGGTTTGTGTCCGAGCTGCCCCACTCTATATTGTGGGCGTTCCCATCGCAGACGAGAATCGCCGGAAGTCATTTTCTGCGGCAAAATTCCAGCAGCTGCTGTACCTCAAGAGGCGGCACGTTGGCGTTGTCCCCCGGAAAATAGACTGCAGCTAAGACCTTCTCCAGTTCCTTCCCGTTAACCCTTAGGGTAGCTTGGACCGCTACCAGATCCTGTGTAAGAAATTCTGTAATGTAAAAATAATTAATATTATTCTTCAGCACTACGCACGCTCTGGGCCTCTCGCAGGAGAGGTCCCAAATTACCTTATTGTTGTTATGATTGAGGCCCCTCACCTGGCCTCTGTAGGTCCACGGTTCCTGTATCAGTAGGATTCCCAGGTCCTCCGTGGCAAACCTGCTTGCAATGATCGCCGAGGCGGCCACCGCGTGATGCAAGTTGACCTGGGCTACTGTTAGCGCTGTTTGGTTCATAGTTGGGGCTCGTCCTCGGTGTCTGAGAGCCGTACCTCACCATCGCCTCCTCTGTCGAGTTCGAGCCTGCCTATGTCCGTTAGGAGCTCCGGTGTGGTGCGCACGTAGTCAGTGGCACTTGGCCCGGGGCACTCACAAGAGCTGGTGCCTGTGCTGGTTCTAGTGACTGATTTTCCGGTAGGGCCGTGGTCGACTCGGTCGCTGGGGCGGCAGTGGAGTCAGTAGCCTCGTCGACTTGCTTGTCTTGGGACTCTGACTCCTTGCTGCCTGTCGTCTTATGTCGCGGAAGTTGACTATGAATCCGGCCCTCTTGATGCTGACATACGACGCCTCATCGATCCCCAGGTTGAGCCTGAGACCGTTGTTTTCGGCTCCGCATTAAAGCACCTCCCACGCACCTCCTTCTGGGCCTGGATGGGACCCAGCACGTACTCAGCCGATTTCTCAGCGCATCTTGGGAAGAAGACCGAGATATTATGCACCGGCGGGATGTCCTCCCCCTCTTGGTACATAACGCGGGCCCCTCCCACCCCGCAATGTTAGGTGCCTTATCTACCAGCCATGCTGCGGTCCGCTCATCCTTGCAGTCCACAAGGAGCATGCCTGACCCGAAAAATACCCCACAAAAGACCAGTGCGTGCTTCCACCCTTTAAGGACCTCATCCATGATGGCGTCCTGGAGTTTGGTGAGGTCCTCAGGGCTTAGGGTAGCAGCAGGGTAGTCACAGGGCAGCACAGCCACCCGTATGCCTTTAAGAGCATCCGAATAGCTGGGCTGCTTAGTGATTACCTCCTGTGGCTGACCCTGGCCCGCGGACCCATCCAAGCCCCTAGACTCTGTTGGAGGTGGTAGGAGCCTCCGCGGTAGTTTGGGGGACGGTGGCTCAGGTGGTGTGACCTGTAGGCTAGTGCGTTTTGGTGTAGCTGTTGATGAGCCTGTTATGGTACCTGTGGCTTCCCCGCTTCTCCGCCATTTGGCGGGCGCGGGTCTCTGCTGCTGTGGCCCGCTTCTCTCCTTTTCAGCAGCCGCGGGTCTCTGATGCTGTTGCCCGCCTCTCTGCTTTTCAGCAGGCGCGGGTAGCTCACCTCTCTGCTGCATACCAGCGGTAGCAGTCACCTAACCACTCTCTTGTGCCTCCAGCTCCACCTCTTGCCTTAATTCCGCCATTGCGCGGGCTACGCTCGGCTTCTTCCCCTGCCCCAGGTACCGGAGATACCACTTAACTCCCGACCCACCAAGACCAGCTCGGTGGTGGTCGTCAAGGGCTTCCGGTTGACCGGACGGCGGAAGTGGAGGCGGTATACACCTGCGTCTTTTCCTCTTGCTGTGTTGCAGCTGCCACCCTGACTCGAGCGATGAGGTCCGAATAGGAGACCTGCGGTGCCTACTGCTAGAGCGGTGCCCGCCGCCGGACCGATGTCTGCTCTTCGAGCGATGCCGACCCTTGGATCGGCCTCGGCTCCCAGAGCGATCATGGCTCCCGAAGCGGTCACGGCTCCTGGAGCGACGCCGACTGGCATCCCGGTTCCTGCTTGGAGATCGGTGCCTATTTTTCGGGGCCAGAGCCTCTGCTCTCTTGGTGCCTTGGTTCTAAATGAAGCTGCGCCCAAACCACGCCGCCACTGCTAGTGCTTGGCCTCTCATCTTCTCTGGCGTGTTCAATGAAAAGGGCAGCCTCCTCCTCGGTTAGACTCTCAAGGAAGCTTCAACTGCGCCTGGTGCCTTTACTTTCGCCCAGCATAGTGCTTCCGAGCTTGGCCGTTGGTACCTTTGGTGGTGCCACTGAAATTACCGTCTTCGTGGCTGCTGCTGCTGTTGTAACTGTGGTTGTGGTTGTTACTGTACCTGTTGTAGCTGTTGCTGATGTTGTACCTGTTACTGCTGTTGTACCTGTAGCTGTAGCTGTCTTTCGCATTTGATTACGCGTTGGTTTTGGTTTTTGTGTGTTTTTGTTGTTGTTTAGTTGTATTCATCTTGTTCGTACGACTGCCTGGTCGGCTAGGCAAGCTCAGCAGTAAAAGTAAAAATAGGGGATCTCATGTGGTCCGCCGCGCCAGCGCCCCATGTCGCGGTAAGGCCACCGTTACTCCTCGATGCGGCCCGGTGTCGAAGAGGCGCCGTTATACTACAGCCGGTTTATTCCCTCCTGGCTGCAAACCGTTCAATAGGCACGGTGCGCGTAACACCCTGGATTAGGAGGTGGCAGTTCTTGGTCACCGTTTGCCGGCAGCCCCAATCTGGAGACAAGGTAGCGCAGAAGCGACGAGCACGTCCACGATACCCCAAACCAGAGATGAGCTGATCGGCAATTCAGCTAAGCCCCCGCACCAACGACAAGGTGCCTGCCCTAGCGAGGGGAAAGAATTGGTAAGTGTTACCAATGATGCTCGAAATTTTCTCCGAAAAGCAATGAGAACACCACCACCTCTGGAACATCCGGTTTTGACAGAGTCACGGTCTTTACGAAAAACATCATAAAGATTAGTATCAAAAATACCTCAATCGAAAAATTTATCATTAAGCCAAGATTCCACAAAAACAAAAATATCAAACTCTAGGGAAGAGCTACGCAAGTACACAGTCGAACATTTAGTTCGAAGGCCTGAAATATTTTGAAAGTAAATTCTTAGGCATTTATTACTAGCGCTGGATTCCGTTACGGCATCAGTGGGCATCTGAATTCGCGGGAAAAAAGCGAAATGACCGAACAGAGACGTTGGCAGGCCAGAGGTCCGAATTTAGAATTTTGTCAAAAACTGACACAGGGACGCCAAGCTTAAAGTTTACCCATTTTAATGTTGCTGACTGCACATCCTTCTTCACCAATTTATAGCAAGCCAACAGATTTTTATCAAGCGCAGCATGTTTAGCGACGTAATTTATAATGTTAGCTTCAGTGAGAGAAGGCAAGAATGATGATATATGTAACCATTTAAAAGGTTCCGCAACATCTAAGTCAGCATTCGCATTCGTACCAACAACAACAGTTTGCATTTGTTTATTTTTCTTTCTTCTACTTTGTCTTCTGTCCACGGAAATCCACTCAGAATTGCGTTGAGGCGAAATTGTATTAGTAGGAGAATTTACATCGGAAATATCCATGAGAGATTTAGCGAATGAAGGTAGCAGGGGAGCAGTTAACTGAGACGACACTAAAGCAGAAGGAGAAGTGGTCATGTCAGTGGTCGGCGGCAAAACGGCAGTATTAGCAGCAGCTTTAACAAGATTTACGGCAGAAGGGTCGGCCGCAGAGATATCAACGTCGGCAGAAATGCCAGCAGCAGTAGGTGTATGTATAACCTCAGATGTTTGCGCACCCGCATCAGCAGCATCCATAGTTGGAGCAGTGATGTTGAGTAATGTGCTCTGCATAGTACGAAGCTCAGCTCGGAGGTCTTCAACTTTCTTGAGCAATATGCTTTTATCATCGGACAGTGATTGCAGCAAAGAGAACACTCGTGCATTTTCGGCTCTAAGCCCAGCCACTTCAGAAAGCATAGTTTCTAGTATTGATTCCAATTCTGTACACTTCGTGTGATCTATTTTTTTGTTGTTTTTGGAATTGAAGTTCACTAGTTGAATTCTCACACTGCCACTGCTGTTTTTGTTCAGCACCAGTAGCGAGGGGTGCATGATGCCACACTCTTTCAAATATTATTGAAAAGCATTGTTTATGTATTCGCACCCGTTGTCGCTCCTAATGATTTTAATCTGGCACCCTGTTTGTCGCTCTGTGAACGCCTTGAACTCCTTAAACTTCTCAAAAACTTCGCTTTTATGTTTAAGGAAAAAAGATGAAGACGTACCTAGATTTTTCGTCCACGAAAGTCAACGAAAATCGAGAACCACCAGCAGACAACTTTAGCGGACCGCAAACGTCCGAATGAATTAATTCCAGTAGCTCATTTGCTCTATTTGTAGTTGTTGTAAATGGCTTTGTTGTCACCTTGCTTTGCATACAGGCGACACAGCTAATGTCTTTCGGCACATTCAGTCGAAGCCCACGTACTAAATTTTTACTAACAAGCTCCCGTATACTACTATAGTTTAAATGACCGTAGCGACTGTGCCATTTAACTGCTTCTGCTGATTGCCCTGTAAGAAAGAGCATATTTTTATTTAGAGTAAGAATAAAATTTTAAGTTACTAGCATGTATAACAGAAATGAGTAATGAGAGAATAGAAAAACTTAATTCGGAAGAATTGGAGAATGAATAACAGAGTTGCTGTTTATATTTCAACACATTTTATTTACATATTTTGACAGATATTGTATTATGTCAAACTGCAAAGAACTTTGGTGTCGACTTATGGTCTGATTATGCATACTTGGCATAAATTCGCATAAATTTCAAACTGTCAGGTGAAAATATGTTGACTGCATTTTGTACATATGTATTCCATTACCCAGAAATTATCAGTTGTAAAAAATCAGCGATCTATTAAGTTTAGATTTTGCCACACGTTTTCATAAATGACATTTCAATTGAAGTGGTACCAATAGCAATATTTTTACCGAGAAGAGTGGAAAGCATATTAGGGAAATTCACGTAGGTTTAACGTGGAATTTTTAATGTTTTCAAAAGCTTATATTTTGAAAAGTTTTGACCCAATTTCCAAAGTATGGATATGATTGAAAAGGTAATTAAAAGTATTTTGATGTAATATAAAAATAAAAATTATTGTATTAAATTTTTCTTCTTCAAAAAATACGTAATCAATTATATTAAAAGGTATGCAAAAAATAAGAAAGAGCATATAAACACCGTTAAATATATGATTTATAATAAAAATAAAAATTATTGTATTAAACTTTTCTTCTTCAAAAAATACGTAATTAATTATATTAAAAGGTATGCAAAAAATAAGAAAGAGCATATAAACACCTTTAAATATATGATTTATAATAAAAAAATCTTTGGTAATATCAGTAAATATTAAAATTCTCATTTTCGTTGTTGATGTTTCCGACAGGGTAGGAGTGTGATGTAATGTGGAACGATTATCCGTCATCCCTTGTCAAATTTGGTTTGGAGACAAACCGGTTTCGGCGTTTTGCCATTTTCAGTGTCATTTTTCGTTCTTTGAGAATCGTTCCACATTACATCAAATATTAAAATATGATTTTATATGTTAAAAAAAATTCTGCAGGCGAACATTTGGAACAAAATATCGCGCTATTGTTTATTAAAACTTTTAATTTTATATTAAAATATCAATACAGTAGTTTTATTTCGCTGTTGGCAGTTATCCTAAAACCTGACTATATATCCAATGAAAGGTATTTTTAAGCTTTTTCAAGTAAATATATCGTTTAATATATGTAGTTACTTACGTATTATTTTAATAAAAACATACATATTTTATTTACATATTTTGATAGATATTGTATTGAAAATTATGTCAACCTGCAAAGAACTTTGGTCTCGACTTATGGTCTGATTGTGCATACTTCGCCACGGTGGAGAGAATACAGAAGGTGCCGATGGCAACACCGCTAATCGGCTCTCAGTGAATTTGACAGAATCAGCTGTTTTGCCGACGTCACAGTCGAGATGTCAGCAGTAGTGATGTGCTGAGTCAATACTTTTAAGTATCCAATACTCTCGATACTTGGCACCGAAACATTTAGATTTCGAATAAAAGCGCACATCAAAACCTGAATGTAGGAGCCAATACAGCTGTTAATACTGATTCAAATGAAAGATGTATATATGTCGGTTCGAGGCCATAATACAGAGAAACTCTTACTTGTTTGAAGCATTTTTGTTCCAGCTGAATCGGACGATATCATTTTTGTAGGCCTGGGGGCAGATTCTGTAACCAGTTAGCGACAATTTTCGAATCGGTATCGGTTTTTTTGACGTATGATATGAAATATTTGTACGTCAACAAGTGCGATATCGATCCGAAACTTGTCGCTAACTGGTTACAGAATCTCCCCCCTGAAAGGCTTCTTTATCCGTCAAAGTATTTTTCTTGAACCTTGGATCGACTAAGGGTAAAACTGATAAAATAATATTTCTCTGTTGCGATAAGTTCAAGAGTTTTAGCCGATATCATATAAATTAGTAATGAAAGTTTTTTCTAAACTTGAAATGCATACAACGGCGAAGGTTTAGGGCCGGTTGTTCAATGTCTGATTAGCACAAATCGGAGGTAGAAGCTCCGATTAAGTACAACGACTGCTTTATCGATCACATGTTACATGCATGATGTCGAAATCGTCGATAGTGTAGTGGTAGTGATAACCAGACATTGAACAACCGGCCCCTAATGTAAAGAATCGGTATCGGGTACCGATAAGGAAGTATTGGGTACCGAAACCTTTTTTAAGGATTGGGTACCGACAACTCAGCACATTACTAGACAGCAGTTTTAGTTGCCGCTCTCAGTTGTCACCCCTACGATGACGTCACGCCAAAATTACTCTCACGAGTTCTGCTGCAATCGGCGCAATCTTGTATTCTATCATTCTTGATACTTAGCATAAATTCGCACAAATTTCAAACTGTCAGGTGAAAACCTGTTGAATGCATTTTGTATGTATTCCATTACCCAGAAATTAGCAGAACTTGTAAAAAATTAGCGATCTATTGAGTTTAGATTTTGCCTCACGTTTTCTTAAGTGACTTAGCCAGCAAAAAATCCGAAAACCGATCCAGAAAAGGACAAAAAAGTGGATAAAGTGCGGATTTTTGTCCGTTTACTGATTCCATTTCCGTATACTTTGACGATCCGTTTTCCCACTAAAGTGTGCGGCAGAAACGTATGTACAGACAACAATATGTGAAACGGATACGTTTTCGGCTGTTCTTTCTGAAATTTGTCTGATTGAATTCTTCGTTCAATACGCTTTCCTTCTTCGCTTTACAGATACTTTTCCATGGTTCAAAAGCAATAAAATAAAACTAGGAAGCGCCTGACGGAATTCAGCACCTTCTGGAAGCTAACAAATAGCGGCAAACTCCTCTGCACGCTCAGCCACTGCATGCCTGCTTTCAAATGTTTAGCTTGAGCAAATAAAATACAATTATTACTTTCAAATGACATCATCTTTTTCGAACGCTTCGGACGTTTACCGGATACGAAAATTGATGATAACTGTGGCAGTTTTTCTATTCGTTTTCGAAGACGCAAAATTGAACAAAACTGAACTGTCGGCAAAATTTACGTTTCTTTGCTGGCTGGGGACATTTCAATTGTAGTGGTACCAATAGCAATATTTTTCCAGAGATGCATGGAAAGCATATTAGGGAAATTCACGTAGGATAAACGTGGAATTTTCAATATTTTCAAAAGCTTATATATTGAAAAGTTATCAACCAATTTTCAAAGTATGGATATGATTGAAAAGGTAAGTAAAAGTCTTTTGATGTAATATTAAAATAAAAATTACTTTATTCAACAATTTTTTTCTTAGAAAAATACGTAATTAATTATATTAAGAAAGAGCATATAAACACCTTTAAATATATGATTTATAATAAAAAAATCTTTGGTAATATCACCAAATATTAAAATTGATTTCAT